CTCCTTAGGTCCCTTTTATATCTTTCCCCTCCTAGCTTAAACCTATGCCCTCTAGTTTTGGATTCCTCTACCCTGAGAAAAAGACCTTGACTATTCACCCTATCCATGCCCCTCATGGTTTTATAAAGCTCTATAAGGCCATCCCTCAGCCTTCAATGCTCCAGGGAACATAACACTAACCTATTCAGCATGTCCCTATAGCTCAAACCCTCCAGCCCTGGCAACATCCTGGTAAATCTTTTCTGAACCCTTTCAAGCTTAACAACATCTTTCCTATAGCAGGGAGACCAGAACTAAATGCAGTATTCCAAAAGTGGCCGAACCAGTGCGCTGTACAGGCACATCATGATATTACAACTCTTTTACTCAATGCACTGACTAATAAAGGCAAGTGTACCAAACGCCTTATTCACTACCCTGTCTATGTGTGATTCCACCTTCAAAGAATTATAGAGTTGCACCCCAAGGTCTCTTTGTTTGGCAACATTCCCCAGGATCTTACCCTTAAGTGTATAAGTCCTGCCCTGATTTGCCTAATCAGTCCTTGCCTTTCCAAATGCATGTGAGCAAGCCACAATTAACAATATGTCAAGGGCAGCTTTATCACTTTGCTGATAGTTGAACTGAGGCTGATGAGATGGCACTTGCTCTCTTGTTCTTTTGTAGGCATGAACTACTAGAGTCATTTTCCACACCTTTGGGTAAATGCCAGTATTGTGGCTGTACTTGAATCGATTGGCCTTGGGGCATAACTAGTTCTGGAGCACAAGTAAATATTGAGTACTCTAGTTGTTGTGGACCTCAGGAGTCATTGTCAGCTGGAGATGGTGACCAATACTTCAGCTTATTGTTTGCTTTGATGTGCTAAGTTGTGCCATGATTGAAGGGGATTTTTTTTTTGGAATTGTCCACCATTATTCATGACTGGATGTGGTAGGAATGCAGGACTTACATCTGACTCATGGTGTAGGCTTATTTATCTCTGTCCATCACCCATTGTATGGCATGCAAGTAGACCTTTGTGATACCACGTTGGCATCCTCATTTTAGTTATATCTGGTGTTAAACCTGTCATGCTCAAGCGCACTCCCCACAGAAACAAACAGGATACCCTGACAAGACTGTATTGGTAGAATTATTTTGTCTACCTCTTTGGGGATGTAACTCCATGGTCATCATATTCTGAGGTGGACATTGAATCCAAAACTGCTGGACCAGAGGTATGGACATTAACACTAGGCCACAAGACCTTCTTGGTATTAGAAGAATGAGATATATATACACACACCGTGAGATAATGATTCCATAATGGTTGATGACACACACCACCTCCTCATGTCCAGTTTTGAATTGCTAGATTTTTTCTGAGTCTATCCTATTTCAAGACATGTTAAACGTGGAGAAGTACGGATTCATCAGTTGAGGTAGAGCAGAAGGAGGTTTCCTTGCCCATGTTTAACATGACACCATGAGAATTCATAGGATCCATTGTCAATGAGAGGATTCTCAGGCCCATGGCCTCCCAACTATAAAGCTCTGTGACAAAACCTCTGGTGACTATGCTCTGCTGGGATAATCAAAGAGCATGGGGCATTGGCTATAATGTACGACACAGGAGTATGAACGCCCGAATGTTTGAGAAGAGATCAAACGGATTTCAGCCAAGTCCAATAAAAGTGGAATAATTGGGAGAACATTATCCCCACCCACCCCACCAGCTAATTACCACCTTTTATTCTTAGAGCAGGTGAGGCACTCTGATGGAAATGCTTACATGTCCCCCATCAGTTTTAGTTTGCCATTCAACGCAACTGTGTCATTTTGGAAGGATCAGAGTTAGTACACTTGATGCTAATGATGATTAAAATAAATGAGGACTTTATTGGAATAGCTCAGCCCTTTATCTTGCCTAGGGATGGTGATAAGACAGCTGGAAACTGTGGAGGAGACTGCATGCAGAGGGTAGAAGGTACAGCAAAGCCTTGCTGTTATACTGGTTTGGACCTCAATACTTTCACCTGGGATTAAGTGCAGCATTAAGCCATGGATGAGAGTCACCTTTTTCTGCCAACTGCAAAAGTCTTACATAAAATAAAATCAGGGCAGTCTCAATTAATTGTGGTGAGTTGACATTGCTTGTATATGGATAGGCAATGTAGGATCTTTAAATATTGGATGTAAGGACAGGGCTAACACTCAAATATGTATAAATTAAGCTAAATCGGGGATACTACTGTATCCCCCAGGGGATAATAAAAGAACATTGTGTTGATCTTGCACAGCAAGTTGGATTTGAAGAAGTGGAGAGTGAGGATGTTGAAGAACTGCTTGAGTCCCACAGTGAAGACCACTCTACAGCTGATCTACAACAACTTTTCACTGAGGGGGAAGTGGAAGCTGGAGATGAAGAAGATGAAGTCCAGGATGCAGCACCACGAGAAATTTCCACTTCTGTTTTGTCTTCTATCCTGAGGGAAATTGAGAAGCAGTTGTAGTTCTTAGAGGACAATGATTACAATGCAGAATGCAACAGGGTAGCATGTTGTGGAATAATTATTTGGCATCCTACAAACAACTTCTTCATGAAAGAAGAAAAAGGGCAAAGCAGCAAAAACTAGATGTCTTTTTTAAGCCAACCCCCAAGAAACAATCAGAACACAATGAACCACAGCCATCCACTTCTGGATTAACTATTTTTCGCCCTAACCCTGCAACCCCAACTGTACCTGAAGGCTTTGATGATGATGATGATGACCCTCAGCCCCTGCATTAACAACAGAGGAACCTCAAAATCTCCTCCTCCATCAAGTCATCTTGACATTTTTTCGAAGGTAAGGTGTTAAGTTTACTTTTATTTCATTATTAGATATGAATTAAACATTTATTCAACTGTGCTATCATTTGTATTGTGTTGTGCTGGCATTTGAGTGATTTTTGAGCAATTTTGAATGATATTATTTGGTGGTCTGCCCCTAACCCTGCTTTTTCCATAGGTCCTGTTATTTCTGTAGCGCGATTTTCTATAACGGGATGTAGTGCAGGAACGCAACAATTATAGCAGAACCGACTGCACTGCATACAATTCTGGACACCTTTCTACAGGAAGGATGTTGTTAAATTGGAAAGGATTCAGAAAAGATTTCCAAGGAATTTGCCAGGACTGGAGAGTTTGAGCTAAAGGGAGAGGCTGAATAGGCTGGGGCTATTTTCCCTGGAGGGTCAGAGGCTGAGGGGTGACCTTATAGAGGTTTATAAAATCATAAGGGGCATGGATAGGGTGAACAGCCGAGGTCTTTTTCCAAGGGTGGGGGAGTCCAAAATTAATGGGATATGTTTAAGGTCAGAAGGGAAAGGGACCTGAGGGGGAATTTTTTTCATACAGAGCGTGGTGCCTGTATGGAACGGGCTGCCAGGGGAAGTGGTGGTGGCAGATACAATTACAACATTTAAAAGGCATCTGAATGGTTATATGAATAGGAAGGGTTTATGGAGATATGGTTCAAATACTGGCAAATGGGACTAAGGTCAGATTGGGATGTCTGGTTGGCGCAGATGAGTTGGACCAAAGGGTCTGTTTCCATGCGGTGTAAGTCTATGACTCTATGACTAAACATCGGCTCATATCAAAGAGCTATTGACAATGCAATTTTAAAAATCAGTTTACAGTAAGATTAAAAAAAGTCTGAATTCCTGCAACATTTTTCAGTGTCATAATAGATTAGGAAAATACATATTCCAAGGAAAGAAATTTATTTGGAGGAAATGGGAAACTTCCCACATTTTGAAATCTTAAAGTAATCAGGATGCAAACAATTAAGAACATACAGTTTACTCATATTTCTTAAAGTATGAATTTTATGAAAATAAGCTTTAATGAATCATGAATAAAAATGTCTTACTGGTGTTCGAGCTAGTGTTAATTGTCCATCATCTCAGATGAGAACAGCAACCATGCAGCTTGTATGCAACCACAGAAGCAGCTCATTCCATGAGTGATATGAAACTTTCATATTATACTTGCATGCTGTACATGCAAGGCAAGTACTTTTACAGGCTCATATTGTTGCGGTTGCACTATGTCTTCGGATTCAATGTGATTTGCGAAGCCATTTGGTTTTATAACTCTAGGCTGCTGTAAAGAAATGTGATTGTACAGTAGGAAATGTGAGTACAATGATTAGTCATCTTTTTGCAATGCCAAAGTGCATTATTCTGCAGTTCATCACTCGTATAACTATCAGATCAAAAGATCCAGATCAAGCATTCCCACAAAACCATTACTATAAATATACCTATCATCAATTATGTCTGATTATGCTCCTTTGAAGTACTTTAGACTGATTTACTACATCAGAGGTGCTCCACCAATGCAAGTTGTTGTTCAAATGGGTTTGCTTTAGAATTATGATTTGTTGTTTAATCTATCTTAATCAGATTCAAATACAATGGCTAATGTGTTGAAAAAGAACTTATTCTCCCCACTGTCCAATTTGGTTTAATAGCTATGAGCTCCTACATTTAACAGCATAAAATTTAATCGAGCAACAAAGGAAATTGCACAATTATCTGGAGGTCTCACTTTTTCCTATATAAAAACCAAAAGAACTGCAGATGCTGTAAATCAGAAACAAAAATAGACGTTGTAGAAAGAGCTTTTCCAGCAATTTCTGTTTTTAATCACTTAATCCTATTATTTCCTAACAGAAAGCTTTATACAGTATATGCCAAAACTGTTTGCACAAAAAATTGCAATAGTGATTGTATATTTGAATATTTATCTAGGACCAGTGTCTTCACCAATGCAATAATAATCGCATTCCTTGTTAACTTCATTTACTGCGGAATGGTTTTATTCACCTGAGTCTGAGGTTACTCTGAGGATTTCCAAAGGGTATCCTTACACACTGGCTGTCCTTTCTATTCTGTAATATTTTTAAATGACAAAAAATGACAAAATCATGTCTGTAATACTTGTTAAATACCATATAATAATCATGTTAGCAAAACTGAAACCCATAGGTTCAAAGGAGTCCAGGATACATATATTGCATGGAATTGACTCAAGGACTGAAAGCCTTTAAAGTGGAGAAAATATGCTGTGGTATGCCCCTGTGTCAGTAATGGGATTACACTTTCAGGGAAATTTAGTGACGACCTGAACTTGGATATTGACATTATACTACAAGGCTGTACTATTCCATAATTCTATGAAAACAGACTAAAATTACCAAGATTGTAAGGGCTTTCTGTTTTCTAGGAAAAGCAGCAGGCAAATCGAAACACGGGAGCACAGTGAAATCAAGTGAGTGAAAGGAGCTCACATCACCTCAGGGTGAACAAAAAGCTGAGGGAATTTATAAATATAGTGGCTCACAAAAGCTGAGGTGTTTCCACATGCTTTACAGCCAATGAAGGATTTCTGAAGCAGTCAGTGTTGTAATGTAGGAAAGACAGCAGTCAGTTCACGCCTAGCATTCTCCTACAATAATAACATAATCCCAATCAGATAACCTATGAAAAGAAATGCACATTAAGTGTAAATGGAAGGATAAGTGTTGGCTTGGATACCAGGGAACACTCCCCTGCTGTCCTTCAAAATAATGCCATGGGAGTATTCAGGTGCACCTCAACCTGGACAGTCAGGGGCTCAGTTAAAGTCTCGTTGATTTTTCTTTTGACAAAGTCTAATGCAAAGTTAATGCGTAAAATTAGGACAAAGAGTAAATAGAGGAAGATTGGCAGAAAAAATATTAAAAACTTTGCTTTTAATTGAGTGGCTTTGAAATATTTATCCTGTTGCACAAGATTAGTATTACAATAACAAAGCTGCTTCTGAAATCTGAGTCGCTTAATTACTATAATTCTTCTGTTTGCAGCAGTGCCAAAATAATAACATATAAATATAAAGACCAGAGAAAGCGAAACTTCCCTGGAGCTACTAAGAGGCTACTGATAGGAAAAGTAAAACCCATATGGTCCTTTTTTTTTTATTAGAAAAAGTAACATATGTGCAAGAATATAAGTTGGTGTTATACTGGTTATTGAGTTAGAAGTGATCCATCACTTCAATGGGCAGCTACTTAATTTTGTCATTTTCTAATTACATAAATGTATAGAGTGACAATGTCATTGACTTATGATACTTACTGGAACCCAGTGTATGGACATGCAAAACTGCAGGCCAAGTTCCAATCACCCAGCAACCCCATGCTTACTGAACTACCTATGCTGTCTCTTGTTGAAATGCCCCAATTTGAAAGTTTCATTCTTGTTTTCAAATGTTCATGCATCTGTAATTTACTACAGTCAAAGTTCTGAAATCTTGTGCTCCTCCAATTCTGACCTTGCATGTATCCACAGTTTTAATCACTCCACTATACCATTCTTTCTGCTACCCAGGCAGTAAGGTCTGGAATTTCTGTGCAAAACTGCTTGAACCCACTAACCCTCTTTCTTCCTTTAAGATGCTCCTTCATACCAACCTCTTCAACTCAGCATTGCTCATCTGCCATAATATAGCTTTATGTTACTCGGTGTCAAATTCTGGCAATGCTCCTGTGAAGCATCTAAGGACTATGTTAAAAGTATTATATGAATGCAAGTTTGTGTTGATGAGTTTAATGCTTGATATTCACCTTGTTTGGGGAAAGTAGAAAAATAAAGGGGACAAAGAAAGGTCATGAAAACTGAAAGAAATTCAAAATACTGCAGATGTTCAAAATCTTCAGCAAAAGTTGAAAATGCTCAGCAGGTCAGGAAGCTTCTGCAGAGTGAGAAAAAAGGGTTAATGTATCAGCTCAACGTCCTTTGCCAGAAATCAGATTGTGAGCACTGCCTGAACGCAGTCAGGTTCAAAATGCTGGCCAGGTAAAATTCGAATTAGGTGTTCAGGATTACAACCCAGGAAGTACTTTTATTGATAAAGGTCATGAAAATACGGAATCCTTTCCACCAAAAACCAGTGAATTCTGGGAGTCAGTTAAAAAGTTCAAGACTGAGATCGACAGATTTGCAATAGGAAAGTGCTTCACAGGATAATAATCAGAGATGAGTAATATACAAGTAAAAATACAAAGGAACATCAGAACAAAAAAGTAGGCCATTCAGCCCCTTGAACCTGTTCCACCATTCCATTCGCTCATGGTTTATCTATTCCTGAACTCCATCTACTCACTTCGGTTCGATATTCTTCCATACCCATTGCCTAACAGAAATGCATCAATCCATTTTTAAATTGACAGTTAAATCCCCAGCTTCAACAGCCTTTCGGGGCGGAATGTGTGAAACTTTCATTAACATCTGTATGAAGAATGCCTCCTAACATCCCCCCGAATGGCCTAATCCTAATGTTAAGGTAATACCCCCTTTGTTTTGGGCTCTTCCACCAAAGGAATTAGCTTCTCTCTATCGACCTATCACCTTCTTTAATCATCTTAAACACCTCAATTAGATTGCCCTTTAATCTTCAAGTGAATACAGCCTCATCTATAGAACCTGTCCTCACGATGTCATGACTTTCACCATAATTTAGTTTGAGTAATGGGACAGTGCACTGCCGGCCGGCCCTTCTAATCCGACTCTACTGCTGCCTTGATTAAATAGCCATTGAATGTGATGTAGATATCGCCTGCACCACTGTAAGCAGCGTTTTCCCTGTTCTCCTGGTAAAGGCGCACCCACACCTCATCACTCTCACTTAGGTCCAGCATGACGCTCTGACTCTGCATGATGCTGCGGTCACTGGGTTGAGCGTATAGGATCACCACCTCCTCGTCATTGCGCATGAGGTGGAGGTACGTTTCCTTAAAGTTCCAGGTGTGTACGTTGAGGTTAAAGAAGTAAACCCCCTGGACGTAGCAGTAGAACCTGCCAGTGAACATGTCGAAATGGTGGTAAAGGTTGACAAACTCAGTGTCAAAAATCAGCTGAGGTTGGAGCTCGTTGCTCTGGATGCCCTTCCTGCGGCCAACCGAGAATGCTGCATAATGTTGTTTGCAGTTATGCCCCGGAATGCTTGCTTGTCCTTTGTCTCCCTTGATGCCAGTGATACCAATGGAACCATTGGGTCCTGTTTTCCCTGTTTTTCCTGGCATTCCTCTCTCCCCCTTCTCTCCTTTGGAGCCTGTATAAAGAGATTAATATTCAATTTGTGTTAGCATTTTATTTTCCCCAGGAGGCATGCCTATTACATGGAACTACATTGAACCCAAAGCAGAGAAACACCAGTTGATCTATACTGGTGTTCAAGCTCGGCAAGAGGTTCCCGCCACTATATTTAATTGAAACATATCACATCAGCTATGTGTGCTGACACCAGGCTGGTGTAACTAGAGATAAGCTTAACCTCACCATCAGAAAATTGGAGAACAAAATTCATCCAGTGTTTTGCCTGCGTTGTGTAATTTGATCCAGAATGCTGAAGAGTCATTGAAGTTCTGAAGGGGTTTAGTTATGAGGAGCAGTTGGATAAACTCATTGCTTTCACAGGAAAGATGGCTGAGCAGTGACGAGATAGAAGTCTACAAAACAATGAGATGCGGAGATAGGGTAGACAGTCAGAGGCCTTTTCCAACCTTGGAAAGGTCAAATACAACAGGGCACAGGTTCAAGGTGAGGGGGGACAGTTTAGGGGAGAATTGCAGGGAAAGCTTTTCACACAGAGGGTAGTGGGTGCCTGGAAGGCACTGGCAGTGGTGGTGGTATAATCAGATACGTTAGCAACATTTAAGGCATATCTTGATAGACACATGAACAGGAGGCAAACAGAGGAGTAGAAACCACGTATGGGCAATAAGTAGCAGGTCTAAATAAGGAACGGGAATTGGCCCAGGCTTGGTGGGCCAAAAGGCCTGTTCCTGTGCTGTATTGTTATATTGTTCTTTGTTCTAGACAAAATGAGGAATAACTAAGTAACAATGAAATTCCTGCATGTTAAGAATGAAAGTTTTGAGTGACATAAATATCTCAGCGATACCTCACCTACCTATTATTCATTACATAATATCATCAAAGCACTTAACACAGTGGGATTTTCGTTTTAGTCAATACTTATACATATATCAATGGAAATTAAAGAATTTTACATTATCACCCACTCAGAATTGCCTTGTTTGCCTGTATTGATAAATATTCCCCTGACCTGATACATTGGGGTACATTGACAGTGAGTCATTGCTTATCTCTTGTGTGGTAAACATCACTTGCCTTGTATCAGACAAAACCTGAATGTCATTCAGATCTAGCTGCATGCAAACAGGGCTCTTCGAGCCTCTGAGCAGGTAAAATTGTAGTTAGATGACACGGTGGCTCAGTGGTTAGCACTGCTGCCTCACAGCGCCAGGGACCCGGGTTCAATTTCACCCTCGGGCGACTGTGTGGAGTTTGCACATTCTCCCCGTGTCTACGTGGGTTGCCTCCGGGTGCTCCGGTTTCCTCCCACAGTCCAAAGATGTGCAGGCTAGGTGGATTGGCCATGCTAAATTGCCTGTAGTGTTCAGAGATGTTTAGGTTAGGTGGGTTAGACGTGGAAAATGCAGGGTTAGGGGAATGGGTCTGGGTGGGATCCTCTTTGGAGGGGTGGTGTGGACCTGTTGGGTCGAATTGCCTGTTTCCACACTGTAGGGATTCTATGATGAAGTACAGTTATAACATTTAAAAAACAGTTGGACAGGCACATGAGTAGGAAATGTTCAGAGGGATATGGACCTACACAGACAAATGGGACTTGTTAAGTTTGGTATACCTGATCAGCATGGATGAGTTGGACAAAAGGGTCTGTTTACAAGTTGTACTATTCTATGACTCATTGAAACAGGATTGATTACCTCAATGGTAATGGTAGTGTAGGGGTTATGTTAGGCCATGTTGCTGCTGATGATGACCCTTATTGATGCCCAGTTTTGAGCTTCTAGCTCTGTTATGAATCTTTCCAATTTTGTTGGGTGGCATTGCCACACAACACAATGGATGGTATTCCCAAGGTAAGGCTTTGTCCCTACAAGCATTGAGCAGTGGTCCCTCAGGAATTTTTTTCATGGAAAGAGGTGATACAGCAGGAAAATAACATCTAAAACTGATGGAGAATGGACAATGGGGTGTGTTATTAATTGCAGTTACTGCTATTGTACTCAAATGATTCAGGTATAGCTAATTTGAGCAGAAAGTGTTGTCCAGATCATCTTCGGACTTCCTCCTCCTCTCCCTGTTCATCTTCCTGCTGCTGCCATGTATCTGGTGACAAGCTCTTTGTCTGCATGATAGTGAGGTTGTACAGCATGAAACTGACCACCATACATCTTGACATAGGTTCTGCTGACCACTGCAGGACTCCATCAGATTCAGGCAGCAGAGGCATTGTTTTTGAACACCACAGGTCTGTTTGATTACAGATTATGTGCCAGCCCAAGTTAGGGTTCATTCTGCACCCGAGTCACATATCCTTTACAGATTGCTCTTGTCACCCAAGTAGCCACCCTCTGGTTTGTTGTGGTGGTTCAAATGTGGGTGCCACGGAATGTGACCAGCAAGATACCGGACATTGACCTGTTTGATACACTGAGGAGGCCTGCACAATGTCACGAGGATGGAATCCCTTTCAGTCAGAATACTTCTCAGTAGGGGACGCAATGGCCTATTGCTGGACTGTTAATCCAGAGACCTGAATAACATTCTGGGGACCCGGGTTCAAATCCTGCCACAGCAGATGGTGGAATTTGAATGCAGTAAAATATTGGAATTAAGAGTCGAATAATGACCGTGAATCCATTGTTTATTGTCACAAAAATGCACCTGGTTCACCGATGTCCTTTAGGGAAGGAAACTATCATCCTTACCTGGTCTGGCTACATATGACTCCAGACCCACAGCACAGCAAAGTAGTTGACTCTGAACTGCCCTCGGGGCAATAAGGGATGGGCAAGAAATGCTGCCTAGCCAGCGATGTCCTCATCCCATGAATGAATAAAGGGACAAAAAAAGTTGACAAGTGGAGCAATCAAGTTGATGTGCATTCGGTAAATAGTACCCCACACTGTGGAACAGCCTGCAATCCTCACAAAGCTATTGTTCTTTCCACTCACTCTGTCTGGTAAGGGAGCATGAGATCTATTCAGCTGACTTGGAATATAGGCTCTTAAATGATGTTCCTTAAGCAACAGTGAAAGAAATCTGGGAGAAGCTGTAAATAACACCTTCACAAGCCAGGATGTTGTATAAAAGTTCATGGTCATGGTCCTCTTCGCTGTTACTGTAATACCACCCTCATCCTGCTCGGAGTCTGCCGTTCTAGCTGCAGGCACTGGCAGAAGTAAGGCATTCAACCGCAGATTCACTATCCTCTGAAAGATGAGATTCCTCCTCATCTCTGATTTAAATATATGACCCCTTACTCTGAGATAGTACCCTCTGGTTCTAGACTCTTCCACAATGGGAAACAACCTTTCTGCATCGACATAGGTCCCCTAAGAATCTTGCATGTTTCAATGAGATCATCTCGAATTCTTCTCAATTCCAACAAGTACAAGCCCAATCTATTTAATTTCCCTGATAAGATAGTTTGCCCATACTTGGTATCAGCCAAGTAAACCTTCTCTGGACTGCCTCCAATACTTAATATATCTTTCCTTAGATAATGGACCCAAAACAGCTCAAAGTTTCTAGCTGAGGTCTGACTAGTGATTTGAGCCAAATCTCCCCAACTTTTATACACCATTTCCTTTGAAATAAGGGCCAACATTCCATTTCCCTTCCCTATTACCTGCTGAACTTGGATGCTCGGTTTTTGTGCTTCACTTACAAGAGCTCCAAAGTCCTCTGTTTCGTAGCTTTCTACAGTCTTCCATTAAATAAATAATATTCAGTTTCTGTATTCTTTCTGTCAAAAGTGCATAACCTCGCATTTTCCCACATGATAAAATGGATGACTGGTGTTGCTCACAACAGAAGCATGAATGTGGTAAAATGGCACTTTGGAGCTAAAATCAGACTTGTTCTGCTGCAAAACCAGCGGCCAAGAAATTTCTGGCTCTCACCTTTTAGTATAGTCATGTCTATCTTTGGCTTGATCTCAGGAATGGCGTAGGTGGGATGGTCACTTACCACCCTTTGGCTAGATGACAGCCCATACAGATACATCGGCTTCTCCAAAGGACCACAGCATCGGACGCATGAAGATTGCAGCGTCTGCTTTTTAAAGAGAATTCTTTTGGACGAGGCGGCAGCAGCTAGGAAAGAAACAATCAGAGCAATGGAAGCCTTCATTCTTCAACTGCAGAATAACCTGTGCAGGGGAAGATACAGAAAATAATCAATATTTATCCCTGGCAATATCTACAAAACAGGATGAGGTGGCCAAACCTCCCGGATTGTCCAAGCATTTAAGATAATTGTCCAGCTGCAAGCAAAAGTCCTTGGGGAAAAATTATAGCTGTATTCAAAATTTTTTTTTATTATTATGCCATCTACAAGGCACAAGTCAGAAGAATGATGAAATACTTACCACTTGCCTGGAGGGGTGCAGCCCCAACAACACTCAAGAAACTTGACACCATACTGCACAAAGCAGCCCGCTTGATTGGCACTACATCCAAAAACACCAGTTCCCCCACCATCAACGCTCAGTAGCAGCAGTGTGTACTATCTACAAGATGCACTGCAGAAATTCACCAAAGGTCCTCAGACAGCACCTTCCAAACCCACGACCACTTCTATCTAGAAGGACATGGACAGCAGATGTATGGGAACACCACTACCTTCAAGTTCCCCTCCAAACCACTCACCACCCTGACTTGGAAATATATCTTTATTCCTTCATTGTCACTAGGTCAAAATCCAGAAATTCCCTCCCTAATGGCATTGTGGGTCAACTCACAACAGGTGGACTGCAGCTATTCTAGAAGGCAGCTCACCACCACCTTCTCAAGGGCAAAAAGGGATGGGCAATAAATGCTGGGCCCAGCCAGTGTCACCCACATCCCACAAATAGATAAAAAACAGCTATCAAAATAGTGGTGATAGGGAAGAAAATTACCAATCGGTATGGAAAGGAGGGACACTGTGGCATGTCAGGTGACCAGTGGTGGGTTTGGGTGATTGGGTACTTGAGGTCATGGGATGTTACTTTAAAGAACATGCCAACTCTGAACTAGCTACTCTTAGATAAAGGCCTTCAAACACTCCCAATCCACTTGCAGCTTTGTACTCATAGGTTTGCTGCTCTTTAAATGTGACAACACCATGAGAGATAGAATAATAGAATCCCTACAGTGTGGAAACAGGCCATTCAGGCCCAACGAGCAACCCATCCAGATCCATTCCCCTAACCCTGCAGTTCCCATGTCTAACCCACATACCATAAACATCCCTAACACTACGGGCAATTTAGCATGGTCAATCCACCTAGCCTGCACATCTGTGGACTGTGGGAGGAAACCGGAGCACCCGGAGGAAACCCATGCAGACTCGGGGAGAATGTGTGGAGTTTGCACAGAGAGTCGCCCGAGGGTGGAATCAAACCCAGGTCCCTGGCGATGTGAGGCAGCAGTGCTAACCACTGAGCCACTGTGCTGCTCTAGATACTTGGACAAATGTGACTGCTCAACACCATCATCTCATGGGCAACTAGAAATAGGCTGTAAATGGCAGCCTTGCAAATGACACTCATTTCTGCACAATGAAGAAGCGGAGTAAAGCAAAGATAATTTTTATCCACAAGCACAAAATAAATGAAATCTTTATCAAAAAAGTTGATGCAGCCCTGTGATTAATTCCACGTTTGCCAGTCCATGCAATGTGGGGTTTTACTTGTAAGAAAGAGTCCCATTTACTTCACAGCTTGATTTACAACCTCAGGATGCCCCAGAGCACTTTACAACCAGTTGAATATTATTATGAATTGTAGTCACTGTTGCAATATCAGAGAGTCAGTAATTCATACACAGCGCAATGCCACATATTATGTGATATATATTATTTGTTCACAACACAGGGGGGAGGGGAGGTGGGCGCAGTGGAGGGTGTTATTTCCCTACTCTTCTATATAAACAACTCATCAGATCACAAACAGCACACACTTCTCTGAACAACTATACTCCCTCATACCTAGACTGTTGGACCAAAGGGTCTGTTTCCGTGCTGCAAGACTCTACAGCTCTATAGAGGCAGTCCAGATGTTTGTGCTCCAATCTCTGGAATAGGAATTGAGCCCACATCTTCCAACTCAGAAAAAGAATCCTGCCAACTAAGCAACATCTGAAAGCAGTTCTTTGGGGTGAAGAAAGGACAATGAAACTTTTCCAATATCTTTGTTCAGATTAAAAAACTGGAGAGAATCTACAATTAATGTGGCTTGTGCTTGACAGTGTAAACTAGTCTAACCAAATAAGTCTTTTTTTAAAATCCATAAGTTTCTTATATATCAATGGGGTTCAAATTAGCTGTGGAATTCTGTTCGTTCAATATCAAACATTCTCAGAATTTAAAAAATAGGCTGGTTCTCTGTGTTACAGTCGCAAAGTACTATTATGGGTTTGATTGTTATTAAAGAAGAAAAAGGACATTTTTGAAATACGTTTCGCAGGTGATGCAAAATTACCTTTGTAGGTGTCTTTGTTCATTTAGAAGCAATCAATGCTGCTGCCAATGAGCTCAAACGTTGCAAAGAAAACAAACAATCTTGCTCACCATCAAGGGGAGGAACTGATTCCAAACACAATTTGAAAAGCAACATTTACAGACTCACTTCATTGTCCGGTTTCATACCTTGAGGCAAAGGCTGAATGCAGAGTTTGGCATTCATAAGAACAGGGATTTAAGACTATTTCTTTTTAAGTGGGAAAAGAGCAACAAATTTTGTGAAGATTATAGACTGATATCAGGAGGGCATCTGTTCCACTTCATTTAGTAATGACAAGGCTGAATTGTTTTGACTGTTGGATGCGTTAGATTGTAAAAATAGTAGTAATGAAATAAAACAAACTATTTAATACCTTCTCTTCAACCTGTTCAATGATAAACTTCTCACATTTGTTGATGACTCTTAGTCATATCAGTGTAATGCTTGTCATTTTGTCACTGTATTATTACTATGCCTGTGAGCTCACCATCCTCAAAATGAGATATAATCATAGGAGAATTACCCTAATCTGCCTCTTTCACCTGCTGTTTGAAAACTATGAAGTTCCTTCTTTTGTTGTTCTTCTTAGATCAAGGATGGCTTGTTTCCAGTCTGGTTCGATGCATTCTGAAATTTCTGATCAGTCCATTGCGCAATCTGCAGACTTTGCCACATGTGGGCCAGGTGGCACTTGAAGGGTTGAAGAGATGGTTGCTCAACTCTGCACTTTCCCAATGAAGTCCCTCGCTGATTCCGAGGCCTCCTCTGTTTGATCATTCACGTGCTAGAATGTTTCCAAATTATGGGATGTTTGACCTCTTCAAGATTGTTTCGAGGATGTCTCTAAAACGTTTCCATTCACTTCCTAGGAATCTCATGCCAGAGAGAGCATTTCTTTGGAAGTTTGATATCAGACGCACAAATGACATGTTGTACCCAACAGAGATGATTTTGTGTGACTAGTGCCTGTTTGCTGGGTATTTTGTAAGAGAACATTGCTGCTAATTGCATTAATTGTCATCAGATTAGGAGGATCTTGCAAAGGCACCACATTTTGGAGCTTCTTCAGTGCATCCAAGTACCTGCTGAATGTTGTCCACGTTGATGGTTAACCTGAGTATTGGGATAGAGATACTAATTGTCAAATATTCTTTTCCTCAGTTGACCAAAAGCAGAGCTGGCGTTGTGGAACTGAATTTGAATTTCATCATCCACTTAGGCTTCCATCAAGCCAAGCCTACCAATACAAGGAAAATGGTACACCTGGCCCACCATCTCACTGTTGATCTTAATCAATGGAGGGAGGTGTTTGCTGTGGGAGTGGGTTGGAGGAGGACATTCGTTTTCCTGGTGTTTTGTGAAAAATCCTTTCTCTCACATGGTTCAGAGAAGGAATGGGCAATGACTGGAACTCAGTTTCTGAGAGTGTGCATATAAAGGATCATCAGCTTTCTGAAGTTCAATAACTGAGGTTGGAGTGGCTTTGGTTTTGATTTGAAAGCTTCATAGGTTGAATACTTTCCTGTCTGCTCTGTCAATTATCTCCACACCTGTGGATAACTTGCTGGTGGTGAGATGCAGTGCTGCAGAGAGGAAACTGGAGAAGGGAGTTGATGCAATGATAAAGCCTTGTGTTATCCCTGTAATCACTGGGCTAGGGATTGTGGAGATTTGTTGGTGAGAATCATAGCTAACATGTTATTGTGCAGTCGGTAGTAGGGGTGGAAAATTGTGACAAATTTCTGAGGACAGACAAATTTGAGGTGGGTATTCCATTAACCGGCACTGAGCTACAGGTTTTCATTTGGTCATGAATGGCCTTGGACTGTAATTGGTGTTGGTTCTCGTATTTTCCTACAATATTGCTGTCCATTGCAAATGATATCTGTGATATCTCTCAAGTGGCGAAAACAGCATTGTAACTCTGGATGGTGTTCCTCACTGTCTAGGAGGTGACAGTTGAGGAGAATCCTTGCAATGATCTTCCCTATGGCAGACAGCAGAGACACCCCTGTATAGTTATCACATTTGGATTTCTGTCCCTCTTGATTATAGTCAAGATCTTGCAACCTCCCAGCAAGCAGGAATATAAGGTTGTACAGCTGGGACAAAAGCATGTCTCAAAGAATACATTAAAGAGGTTGACCCTGGAATTTAACTCCTTGAAAATGTTCAAGAGATGTGATTGATTATGGGATATATGACAACACAGGGTGGTAGTGAATTGGTGTTACATCCCTTCTGATTTTCTTTTCCTTCAATGTCGATGGAAAACAAAGTTGAGCAGGATTGGACTGTTCAATTACAGAGGAGTTCTGCTGACTGTCTGTCTATCATGAGAAGCTGTTTACAGCACAGAGTTACTTCATCTGCATTCACTACTTCAGAGCTTCTTCAAAGTTATCATAAAAATCTGGAACTAATTCTCTCTAAATCACTATGGTGCCTCAACTGAAGTTGGCAAAACTTGAGATTGATACAAGGAATATGATGCAAATGGGTTCTGGTATAAATCAGCTATGACCTAATTATACCTGGCATAGCAGACTTGAGGGGTTGTGTTTCCATTTCCACAAATGGATACCATGACTTTTTGAAGATCATTGTAGTTATGCCTGAAATAGGGCCAACAGAATCTTTGATCTTGGATGCCCGAGTTAAATACT